GGGTATGTAACTGACACCGTAACCACTGTGCTATAGGCGCTGAGCCATGGCCCATTTTGTTTTATGAGAATATAAGTCTATAAAAGAGTTTCATGTACAAAGTTGACCAAATAAGCATTATTTATAGAAGGTAAATATTGAGAACAGCTTAAATGTCCAAAAGTTGGGAAATGGTAGATGAGTTCATCCACTCAATGGACTATTAAGTTACTTTTAGTGCGATAAATGCTGGCTGTTACTTCATTATTAAAAATCAGTCTAGGGGGGCGGTGCCTGTGGCTCAAAGGAGTAGGGCGGCGGCCCCATATGCCAGAAGTGGCCAAAAACTTAAAAAAAAAAAAATTCAATCTAGGTACGCTCGGCACCTGTAGCTCAGAGGCTAGGGCGCCAGCCACATATGCTGGGGCTGGCGGGTTCAAACCCAGCCCAGGCCTGCCAAACAACCATGGCAACTACAACAACAACAACAAAATAGCCAGTGGGCGGTGCCTGTTGCTCAGTGGGTAGGGCTATGGCCCGATATACCAAGGGTGGCGAGTTCAAACCTGGCCCCAGCCAAACTGCAACAAAAAAATAACCTGGCATTCTGGCAGGTGCCTGTAGTCCCAGCTACTTGGGAGACTGAGGCAAGAGAATCACCTAAGCCCTGGAGTTGGAGGTTGCTGTGAGCTGTGATACCACAGCACCCTACCGAGGGCAATAAAGTGAGACTCTGTATAGGTGAAACGCCTATATGCCTCTGGCCAAAAAAGCCATTTGAGAGAGAGCAGTGAAAAGACTTTGTGCAGGCATACTTGTGAGAAACTGAGGCAGAATCCCATATGACCAGGTTGGTTGCGGGCCTAACTTTACCAAGGCTCTGGCTGGAATAGCATATCCAGAGATGTACAGACTACATTAAAGAATTAAGGTTGACTTTATAAGGTCAATAAAAAAGCCCTTTGGAGGGTGGCTCCTGTGACTCAAAGGAGTAGGGCGCTAGCCCCATATGCCGGAGGTAGTGGGTTCAAACCCAGCCCTGGCCAAAAACTGCGAAAAAAAATAAAAAGAAAAAAAAACTTTGGAAAACTGGCCAGATACCCATCAGTAAGCTTTCCTCATCTGTGGTAAGTGACAAAGGTCTCTTGCTGACGAGTCCAGGAATGGAAATGTGCTCTGGGACCTTAAGAAAAGAGGAATTTCCCCAATGCATATAGGTATCTGATGGCACAAATGAAACCTGGGCTAGTGAAAGGCTTGTGAGAAATCCAGCCTGCAAATCCCTTATAAAAGGTTCTAGCAAACCCCCCCCCCGACTTAAGTCCTACATGGGAGCAGAGGTTTGCACACAAAATCCTGTATGCCCAAGAAGTTTCTCTGTGCCTTGCTTAAAGATTTGAAGTAACAGCCTCCAAATGGCAAGGTCAGCAAGAGCAGGTATTCAATCTACCTCATTTCTCCAAAGTCTCAGGCAGACTTCATCAGATAAGAACAAAGAAAGTACTGACTGACAACATGTTCTTCATTAAGTTATGTTAAACCAGGTTATGTTGAAAAGGTTATACTTAAAGGTGTATGTTGGGTGGATTATCAGATTATTAGAGAGGAGCTACTTAGAGGGCAGTGGTCACAAGATGTTCAAATGGATCAATGAAATCATTAATGTCCAATGCACATGTGCAGAGGGAAGTCATTGATGTCCAGTGTGCATGTGCAGCGGGACTATAATGAATGTTAATGAGGTCATTGCTGTATAGTGTGCATGCACAAAATTGCCTATATAAACCAATAGCAAATAAAGAAGGCTCGCCATTTTGCCTGAGTGAGCAGATGCTCACCTTTATTTAAAACACAATTTCAATAAGCATGCTTATTCTTTGTGACATCGCTTTTCTATGAGACCCTTACAGCAACACTTTGTCTCAAAAAAAAAAAAAAAAAGGGTAGTGCCTGTGGCTCAAGGAGTAGGGCGCCAGCCCCGTATGCCAGAGGTGGTGGATTCAAACCAAGCCCTGGCCAAATACAAAAAAAATAAAATAAAATAAAATAGCCAGGCATTGTGGCAGGCTCCTGTAGTCCCAGCTACTTGGGAGGCTGAGGCAAGAGAATCGCTTAAGCCCACGAGTTTGAGGTTACTGTGAGTTTGAGAAACTGTGATTCCATAGCACTCTACTGAGGGTGACATAGTGAAACTCTATCTCAAAAAAAAATCAGTCTAGGTAGATACACACACGGTCATTAACTTCAATACATTATGATTTAGCATTAAGCCCCTTCAAAATGTGTGTTTGGAGGGGGGTGTATATAAAATTAAATTAAATCCCAATGATAAAGGAATCTCAAAATAAAATAGAAGACTCCTACGTATGTAGGTTATGCTTTACTCATCACTAAATGTAGTTTATCAAATGTTCTGCACATAGCAGATATTCAGCAAGTTTGTTGAATGTAATCAATGAAAAAAATTCTAAAGGCTTGGTGCCTGTGGCTCAAGAGGCTAAGGCGCCAGCCACATACACCTGAGCTGGCAGGTTCAAATTCAGCCCAGGCCCGCCAAACAACGATGGCTGCAACCAAAAAACAGCTGGATATTGGCTCAGCACCTATAGCTCAACTGGCTAAGGCGCCAGCCACGTACACCTAAGGTGGCGGGTTCGAATCCCCAGCCCGGACCCGCCAAAACAACAATGACGGCTGCAACCAAAAAATAGCCGGGCGTTGTGGCGGGCGCCTGTGGTCCCAGCTACTTGGGAGGCTGAGGCAGGAGACTCGCTTGAGCCCGGGAGTTGGAGGTTGCTGTGAGCTGTGATGCCACGGCACTCTACCCAGGGGGACAGCTTGAGGCTCTGTCTCAAAAAAAAAAAAAAAAAAAAAATAGCCGGGTATTGTGGCAGATGCCTATAGTCCCAGCTACTTGGGAGGCAGAGGCAGAAGAATCACTTGAGCCCAGGAGTTGGAGGTTGCTGTAAGCTATGATGCCACAGCACTCTACTCGGGGTGACAGCTTGAGGCTCTGTCTCAAAAAATAAATGTTAACAAATTCTAAGACAAAAATAACATAATTGGCCTGCCAGCTTATCTGATTTGTTACAAATTTAATACAAATTTTAATTTATCCTCTGAGGCAAGGTCCTTGGCAATGATACCTAATGCACTACCATATACTTAACTTTGATTATTTTGTGTAATTTAGCTGCCTTGTAAATCAGAAGACCTCGAAATTCTACCCAAATCCCCTGAAATATGTGATTAATTGTATGCCCCTAATATTATACCATAACAAACAACAAAAACTTCTTTGTTACTTAATTTCTTCACATTAATTTATTTAAAGTTGTGTTTTTATGCAGCAAACATTTTATGTGTGCTAGGTGCTCTTCTAGGCACAGTGATTTCATCTTAAACAATTTGGCCATTCAAATGCTCAGGCCCTTTAAGTTTTTCTAAGTAAATACTTTTTTACAAAAAACTTACATTGAGGAACATATTGGTTATGTACACGACACAGTTCATTTGTGGACCTAAGTGTCCTACTGAGGGTGAAGGAAGCAGGAAAGTAAAAGTCAGTTGATACAAACTTCTGGCTTTTCCCAGCAAACCAAAATGTTTTCCTAGCAACATTATGAATTATAAAGAAAGCACATAAACAAAAGACTCAATGGTACTTTAGGAAATGTCCTGAATTGAACTTTTTATGTATTTCTGGTATTCACAGTTTCAAGTGAACATAATATTTTACAAATGAGAAACACTAAATCATCAGTGTTACTCTGGTAACATCTAGGAACACATATATCCCCACCACAGGAGTCCAGAATAAATTAATCTCTTTTTCTGTCTAAATTCTAGTCTGATTTATTCGTAAGTATAGTCAAGAAAAATCTGAAATAACCAAATTAACGCATAACAAAAGTGGCAGTGAACAAGTCTAGCAACTGTGTCAGTGCTCAATAAATGTTAATTGCATTCAGTTAAGTCAAGGTCATCACAGTAACCACTCGCAAGGGTTGGAAAGTCCTCTCAAGTTTCTCCTATACACTGTCAATCACTATATCTCACATAATATTGATTTCCTTTATGTGAAACCCCTTCTCAACATCATTCAAAACCCAGCTTACTCAAAAACAAAGTCTACACACAATTCAGCCTAACACTCAGTATTCTATCTGCCCCCACCAAGACTCAGAGGTGGAAAACATATATCCTTCAAGAGCCAGGTAGGTAATAAAAATGAGAATGGCAGGCAAAATGTCAGCTTGTCAATCAGTTTCACCCTCAGTACAAACGAGACTACAGGAAGTGCAGCATATAGACCTTGCAGGTACCGCCCAAATGATTAAGACATCGTTCATCTGAAATTATCTCACACCAAAGAACAGTGCAGACTTAGATTTCTTTTCAAAGAAGCAGACAATTTGGAGTTTTGGGTGAAAACTTCCAATTGCTAAATGCTGAAGATGCTTGCAAATATAAAAGTGAGGTCAGATCATACCAAACTCCTCCCTGTTCTTTGTGTGGATAGTCTGTATCTTCACTTGCACATGTATTTAAAAATCAATCTGAAGGAAGTCGCCACAATCCTCCCACGCTGTGGCGAGGGCAGTGTGCCCAGTGGCTCCATGCTTCCTGCCCTTTTCCCACTGGTATATCTTCCCCCCAACTCTCCATTATCTTTAGGGGCAGCCAAGACAGCCTTACGCCTGAGAGTCCCGCTTAATTACTTCAATTCAAATCTCTACTGTTCCTACCCTTCATCGAAATCACTACAGAATTAAGCAGAGACGTCCCTGGGCTTTTATTTAAACTGCCCCAAGTGTGTTGTTCACTAACTACTTTGTGAGTAACTGAGGTGTGGATGCAGCAGAACGGCAGGCTGAGGGAAGGCTCCATCTTACATGGAGTCACTTCTCCAAGACCAGGAATGAACTTTGCCCAATACCAACAAGGCAGCCTACAGAGCAAGGAAAGGTAACCGGACCCATCCAGTTCACAGCCAAAATGGAATTACAAGTAATTCTCACCTCTTTTTTGTCTCTCAGGAGCCCCGTGGCCATTTTCCTGGTCTTCTGAGTGCTCTCTTTGGAGAAGGGCAAAGCCTCAGTAGATATATCTGGAGATGTCCTAGGTGGAAACTCCTCCCCACAAGGTGAAGCGAAGTCTGCTCCAGAGCCCCACGCTGGGAGTCGAGGATGTTACAGAAATCACCCAGGAGGCCCAATTCCGGTCCAGAGCCCTGGAAAGAAACCCAGGATGACCCAGGACCCTCAAGCTCAGCCCCAAGTTCTGGCCAGAGAGTGAAGCCTTTATCACTCAGCAATGGAGTGAAGGTTTGTTTCCAACCCTGAGGGCTCAAATGAAAGGGAAATGGCCTGGAGATGCCACAGGAGAGCGCCCGAGTTCAGAGACTACTCTACCTCTCCCAGCCTGTGTCTCCGTGGCTGAAACGGGGACAAGCAGAGGGACATGCTGACTGCCTACAGGGCACTCCCGGAACAAGGGTGCACGGGGCGGATCCTGAGGCCGAAGGTCGGCAACGAAGCCCAGAATCACAGAAAATACACAAACAGGACGGACTTCACCGCCGTCCGCCGGCGTAAGGGGCCGGGCCCACAGAGCGGAAGTCTCGCTCGACGCTGCGGGGCGGGAGTAGGGGAGGGCGGAAGTGACCGCAGAGGCCTCTGGGGAGTGTAGTTTTGGAGAGGGACGAGGAGGGGTTGGCTTCGTCCTGGAGAGGTGACCCCGACACCTGCGCCACTCATACAACCAAGTTTTGGATCCCATTATTGAGATGCCTAGACAGCAAGTTTCTACACCGAGGACCAATGAGATCTGCTGACCGCGAAAGCGTAGCGAGAATGCTCAACGACTCCAGAAAATGTAGTCCTGGCTGTCCGTGTGTTTCAATGGCTGGTGGCCAGACCGTGTGCGTTGATTTTCAGCTAGCTCGGTCCTGGTGTGCCCTTCCAGGAGCTGATCGGGACGGGCGTGGCTCAGGCAAGGCTCTTGAGGGGGTGGGGGGGTGAGGCAGCGGGGTGAAGCTCTGCTGGGAATCCTGGTTTCTAGGTCACTGGCCCTATGTCCCCAAGAGTAGGTGGGTGTGCCAGAATTAACAGGGAATTAATTCCAAGGCCATTTTGGGAGAACTTGGGATTGGCTTGGGCCAAACTCCGAGAATGTAGGGGGCAAGGAAGACTGGTTGTATGTCCCCACGATTTTAGGGTATGGAGGAGGCTGAACGTGGGGCAAGCAGCAAAGATCCCCTGGTTATAGTGGCACTGAGGACCCAAGACTTCATCCTGAAATCTCCAAGGAGGGAGGATAAAAGCAGCTTGGAGGAACTATAAGTCGTTGGTAGATGGGGAAGGGGTTGAAGAGGAGGCATAACTGTGATTTGGTTCAACATGGATTTTTTTGCATTAATATTTAAATATACTACATTAAAATATTCTTTATCCTGATCACTGAGGTGTGGTTTGGTTAGGTTTGGTTGATGCCCCTTTAGATTTTGTATCCATAGTCCCCACCCTGATGAAAGGCATAGATTTGACCTTTTATATAAACCTCATTGGCTGGCCTATAGCTTGGCTTCGGGCATTAAGCAGCTAGATAATGGTAGTACAACATTGTGAGTGTACTAAAAACTATTGAATTGTACACTTTGAGGCTCGGCGCCTGTGGCTCAAGTGGCTAAGGCGCCAGCCACATACACCTGAGCTGG